ACGGAAAAAGACAAAAAAAAAAAAACTGTACCCTTACTTAATCATAGAATTCCATATATGGTGATACCATGGATATTATATGATGAGAAGCTGCTCCAACTCAAAAATCCCTAATTCAGAACTAAATTTAACTTCCAAACACAACTTTCTTCTATTCCAGCTCACTTACTCAAATCATCCACCACAACCTTTAACATCACTGGACTCTGTGCCCTCTCCCCCACCTCCTCCTCTTTCCCCCAATCTATTACTTCCCTCCCTTACTGCCACTGAGATTCCCTGGCCCATCATTTAATCACTCCTGCCAAAAACTTGAACTACCTTTCTCTTTGGCAAAACCTTCACCCTTGCTTGGGGAAACCCCAAACTTGGAGGAAGCCAGTTGCTTACTTTCTGCAGGCCAGCACTCAGCAACTGGTTTCTTAGAGAAAGTGACACCACAGAGCACAGAAAGACCATTAATGACATGATCAGCAACCCCAGGGGATCTTAAACATCTCTCTCCAGGCCTACTGTTTCTCTAATCAACTCTCTCTTTAAAAGTACAACTTCAAACCTGTGACTGGCCTACCACTTCACCTACTTTCCTCCTTCACAGAGATGATGGAAGTCATGAGAAAGAAAGGACAAACTTACCTCCACCTGAAGCCATCTGTTACTTCTACCCTATGGTTGTAACAGAACAGGCTCCTCCATTCCTTCCACCAGGGCTCAGGATCCCATTCCCATCCTGCCTCTTCAAGGTTGTTAGGATATGGACTATCCCTTACTTCTCCAAAATTTTCAAATTCTTATCTCATGGATCCCATTCCCTTGGTTATGAACTTCAATTGGACACAAGCTAGGCTATTTCAATAAAGTACAAACCCAGGAAAATGATTCTCTATATCTACTTTTAGAAACAAATAAGAATATGATTCTGTATAATTTTATTTACATCAAATTCTGGAAAATGCAAACATTTCATATGACAGAAAGCAAATCAGTGGTTACATGGGGACAGGAGAGAGGGATTACCAAAAATGCAGAGGAAACTTTTGGAGGTGATAGATACGTTCATTATCTTGATGGTAGTGATGGTTTCATAGGTGTATACATATATCAAAATTTATCAAATAGTAATCTTTAAACATGTGCAGTTTATTGTAATTATACCTCAGTTAAAACTGGGAGAGGGGGATAAAAAATAGGGCAAAAAAAATAGACTAGATTCCTATTCTGATAAGATGGCAGACCAGGTACCTGATCACGCTTCTAATGAAAGTAACTGTTTTATTCTGACATCCTTAAAATGTATCAAAGGTCTAGAGGAAAGGCTTTTGAACGTCTTTGCCATAAAGAAATGATAAATAAATGAAGTGATTGATACATTAATTACTCCAACCTATTACACAACATACATATGTACCAAAACATCACATTGTACCCCATCAGTATGTATAATTACAATGTGTCAATTAAAATAAAAAATATATAAATATATGGAAACTATTTTTCATGCATTGAGGGACTAAATATCATAAGGATATCAACACTTTCCTAATCAATATACAGATTCAGTAGATTCCAAACATACTTCGGAAGACTCAAAAATCATAACTATATCAGTTCCTATTAAATTTATCTGCAAAATCAATGCGGTTTGAAAAAAAAAAGATGATTTGCAGAATGGGACAAGCCAATTCTAAAATTTATTCAGACATGCAAAGAGTCAAGAATAGACAAGACATTCATGAAAAGAAGAGGAGAAGAGATTTGCTATACCAGCTATTATACTAACTGTTGAGCTAAACAATTTTAAATACTTACGTTTTATAACAATTACGGTAGTTGCCTTAAAGTGTTTATTGTCTGGAAAGTCGGTTCAATTTAAATACTATGGATATTCAGGTTATATAACATTTGACCAAGTTCTAGAACCAAGACTTAAGAAATGCAATGAAAGAACTTCCTTATTAACTTGTAACTTACCAGTACTTATTTAAAACTCTCAGAGTATCACATGAAAAGACTAAACCATATATCTATGTTCAGTAATATTCTTAAACATATTAATGAAATATCAGCTTTTCCTTTGTTAATTCTGTTGCACTTAGAAATAAGAAGTCAAATTCTGCCATCGCAAATTCCACAGTCACATTAAAAGCTATATTTGCACAAAGTAGTGTTTTACTTAAACTGAAATGGAGCTTTTATACTGGGAGAATAAATGGTCTCCTCTTGCCTGAAGGAGTCAAAGATGGCAACAGCTCAGGGAGTACTTTAGGGAGTTTCAGTCCACTGGTTTTAAAATATGACCTGCCAATCTCCCACACTTAAAAGGAAAAAAAGGCCCACTGGGAAGGAGGGAAGAGAGACAGACAGAGTGAGATAAAAAGAGACAGAGACACTAAAATCTCTCTCCTCCAGATGTAAAATTTCTCCCAAGTTCCTTAGGCATTTCTCCTAAGTTCTAAGAGGCAAAGTCAAAAAACTTTTGTAGGCTATTAATACCTGTCAGCCAGGATATGTCAGAACATGTGAAACAGCAATAGAGTTCATCAGAAAATCTCACCTGGGTGGCTACAAGATAGATCAGCTCCCCAAGTGCTGGTAAAAGGCACTGCTTTAATTTGCTATTCCTGAAGTTTTCCCTAATTAATTCAGTTAACACAGCAACTGCCTGAAAAAGAGAAAAAAGTATATTATTTCCAGTGTTATCTCCCAGTTCTTTAACCTATATGTAAAAAGCAAGACGCTACAAAATTCCCCTTCCATTTTTAAGAACTAGTTTCCAAACTGTTTTCAAAATATGGACCTTATTCCTGAAGAAAAATACAATAACTTCCCCTGATGAAGGTAAAAATATATCCAATGAAATAAACTTACATACATATAACACTTTTCAGTTTACAAAGCACTTTCACCATATCACTGATCCTGTGAGGCAACTGCTGCCCTATCTTTAAAGAAGTAAACAGAGGCTGAGAGAATTTTCAGCAACTTGCCCCAAGCCATCCAGTTCACTTGGACGCTAGGATCTGAACACAGATTTTATCATACCGGATCCCTGGCATACCCCAGCATACCACTATTTGAAAGTTCTTATATTGCATTAAACCTTCACATTATTCCTTCAAAAATCTGCAAGTGGGAATGTTATACCAAAGTATCAGTATAATCCACTTTGAAACTCAGCAGCATATTTTACCAAACCTAGTTAATTTCCTAGGATCATGTTAAGAAAATCACATACACTCATTGCCAGAATTCATATACCGGAACACAGGTTAGTCAAATCATAGTGTGACCATGAAGATGGACAGAATGGTTTCAGAATGATACATACAGAATGGCCCCATTCTGAGAAAGAAAAAAATGTATATAAAATAATGTGGAAGCATTATTCTAAATAGGGTGACTCAAAGAGCGGTACACAGACAAGATTATTTCTTACCATTGATAAAGAAGTTAGTTTAAAAACTGAAAGTAAGTAAATATTTGTAAACTTCCAGAGCAATTTGGCAATGCCACAACATCTCATCATGCACTCACTGGTCACATTTTGTAAACAAGAGTATGGGCATGTGGGATAGCTGCACAACAGTCATGCACTGCAGGAACAGTTATTGACAACACTTATTTTTTTTTAACAGCTTTATTGAGTTATAACTGACATACGGTAAACTGCTGCACATAATTAAAGTGTACAATTAGATACACTTAACATATGTAAGTGCCCATAAAATCATTACCCAATCAAGGCAAACACCCTCCAGTGTTTCCTCAAGGTCCCTTTGTAATCTTTTCTGTCTCACTCCCTTTCTCTCCTATCTAGATAGCCACCAATTTTCACCAATTTCTGTCATTAGTTTGTATTTTCTAGAGTTCATGCAAATGTGATCACATACTATGTATTCTTTTTGGCTTCTTTCACTCAGCATAATGCATTTGAGATTCATCCATGTTGTTGGTTGTATCAATAATTCATTCTTTTTTATTGCTGAGTTCTAGTCCATTGCATGGATGTACCACAATGTGTAACTCTCACCACCCACTGCCTTATACACAGTGAATCCTCTATATAAAGAGGCTGAGGAGGGAAAATGGATCATGAGTCACACTAGACCTTGCAGCAGGTCGCTTCTACACACAGTCTTCCCTTTCCTTTGACTTTTACTGATCACCCCCTAATACTATACTGAATCTTCTGAAATTGCCAATGTTCTACAATTTTTTTAACCTACAAAAAGAGCAAATTGTCACCAGCACACTAACCTAAAAGAATGGCAGAGGTAGGTATTCTAAAGAGAAAGGAAAGAATGAAAGATGAAAGAAGGAACTTTGGAATATTAGATAGGCAGCAAGAATACAGTACTAAAATATACGTAAATACAATAGGCTTCCCTTCTCCTAATTTTCTTTTTTTTTTTTTTTTTTTTTTTTTTTTTTTTTTTTTTTTTTTTTTTTTTTTTTTAAAA